TGCTTGCCTTGTATGCTTGAGGCCCTGGGTTCATTCCCTCAGCATCTCATGAGCAGAAAAAGCAGGAAGTGGCGCTGTGGCTCAAGTGGTAGAGGGCTAGGCTTGAGCTGAAGAGCTGAGGGACAGCGCCTGGGCCCAGAATTGAGGCCCCACGACTGACAAAAAGAATGGAGCTCAACCATTGGAGCTACAACTCCATTTTTTTTTTTTTTGGTGGATAATGGGAGATGGAGTCTCACAGACCTCTCTGCCTGGACTGGCTTTAAAACTTGACCTTTAAGTCTCATACTCTTGAGTAGCTGGATTAAAGGCATGAGCTAACTAGCATCAGACTGAAGTGGTTTTATACGTTTGTGTAGGGGTGTGTGTGTGTTTGTGTTTGCGTTGTTTCCCAGTCCTGGGGCTTGAACTCAGGCCCAGGCACTGTCTCTGAGCTCACTCCCTTTGCTCAAGGCTAGCTATCTTCCACTTTGAGCCACAGCACCACTTCTTTTTGTTTATGTGATACTAAGGAATCAAACCCAGGGCTTGATGCATGCTAGGCAAGCACTCTTACCACTAAGCCACATTCCCAGCCCACATTCTCAGCCCCCATTGTATAGTTTTAATAGAACAGCAAGAAGCTACCTTTCAGATTCTACAGCTCTGTGTTTTAACAATATGCAAAACTTATTAACTAAGGGTTTGCAGTATTTTATTTAGAAACTGCAAATCTGAAAAGTGAGTTGTTTGATATTAACTTTTGGTACTTCATAATTCAGGGCGGAGGCAGTAACCAAAGACTCTGGATTAAGTCAGGATCCATTTCCATGTTAGTTTTGTCTATAGCTCTTAACTTGGGAGTTGCTGTTGTGTGTTCTCTAAAATACTTTATTTTCTAGAAAATGAATTAAAGCAACAGTGTATAATGAATAGCTTTTTCTACACACATTTATAATCATGAAACTACTTTTTAAGTCTATGCAACTGCAGTTATTCATAACCTATAGGAATGTCTATGAATATTTGGTCAGTAACATCTCTGACCCAGCAAAGGGAGAGCAATAGGTACTCTTTATTGACTTAAAGTTTAGAACAGAAGGTTTTTGAATGTAAAATTAATTTATTTCCTGTAGTGTCAGTTTACAGTTTGAAATGGAGACAAAGTAATGTCAGGTGCAAGTGTGTGAGCACTCCTGAGGATTGTACAACATTAACATGTGTGGAATAGAAAGGAAGATCCCTCTTGTCTAGAGGTGTAACTGATCAAGGAGGAAATAATAGTAAATACAGTACCAAGAGTGCATTATGGAAAAGATTACAGAGTACAAAGTTAAAATAATGTTCAGAGACGTATGGAGAAGTATGTCAGTGGGGGCTGGAGTGATCAGGAAAGGCACACTACGTAGAACTTGAGAAAATAAGATGAGACTATGTAAACAGAAGAAGGCTTGCACTAGTCTAAATGAGTTCTAGAAGAAGTAGGGGTGACTATAACAGGGTTGGTAGGAGTCTTTTGGACTTGATAACAAATCCTGGACTTTAATTATTTACTAGCTGTTTATAACCTGAGTTGGTTCTTCCTGTATAAAATTGGGTCAGCTAGAGTTCTTACAGTATTTGGGTGTATCAAGTATAGAACACTTAGCACACTACTTGGCATATGAAAGCTCTGTAATGAAATCTGTGAGACAAGGGAGCTTGACCTACTTGGATGAAAGGTGTGGATGCAGACTGCAAATTTTGGAAAGTTCCTGGGAAGGAGTAATTGATAATTAAAAAAAAAAATACGCTCACACTTGTTCATGTCAAAAATCTAAGAGTAGCTGGGTGCAAGTGGTTCACATCTGCAATCCCAGCTGCTCAGGAGAATGAGATCTGAGAACTGTGCCAACCCAGGCAGAAAACTTCTTGAGGTTCTTTTTTTTTTTTTTTTTTTGTCGGTCGTGGGGCTTGAACTCTGGGCCTGGGTGCCGTCCCTCAGCTCTTCAGCTCAAGGTGAGCTCTCTACCACTTGAGCTACAGCGCCACTTCCGGTTTTCTGGTGGTTTATTGGAGATAGGAGTCTCACAGTTTCTCCTGCCCGGGCTGGCTTTGAACCGAGATCCTCAGATCTCAGCCTCCTGAGTAGCTAGGATTACAGGCGTGAGCCACCAGCGCCCGGCTTGAGATTCTTTGTTGTTGTTGTTGTTTTGGGGTCTGGTCGTGGGGCCTGGACTCTGGGCCTGGGAGCTGTCCCCCACCTCTTTTTTTTTTGGGGTCCGTTCATGGGGCCTGAACTCTGGGCCTGGGCACTGTCCCTCCGCTCTTCAGCTCAAGGCTAGCCCTCTACCATTTGAACCACTTCCAGCTTTTTTCTTTTTGCTTATGTGGTGCTGAGGAATTGAACCCAGGGCCTCAGGCATGCAAGGCAAGCGCTCTACCACTGAGCCACCTCCCCATCTCCCCTTGAGATTCTTTATATCTAATACCAAAAAGCTGGGAATGGAGCTGTGGCCCAAGTAGTAGAGCAAAAGCCTTGAGAAAAAAAAAGCTTAGGGACAGTGCCCAGGCCCTGAAGTCCTAGGACTGCTCCCACCTACCTGCCCCGCAAACTTAGAGTATTTTGAGAAGTATATTTGCATGGAGTATTTCAATTTAGGTATTTCAGTTCTCTTGTTTTAGAATTTACTGGGCATATTAAGATTGAAGAGGAATATTTACTTAAATGCCAATAGTAGCCACTTACAGTGTGGAGGGACAGTGAAATTTCAGGTATTCTTTAAATTGTATTTTTTTTCTTACATTGAGCTTGTATCAGATTACAATTTAGTACTAGTTCTAACATTTAACTTAATCTTTTTGGACTTTTCAGTGAAATATTAGGATTATTTTTTAAACATGAATTTTTAGTTTCAAAACAATTTAGTGTTTTACCTGTTGACTTAATTCAACAAATTAATCCTTCCTATTTTCCAGTTGTCTTTTTCTTCAGTCCTGAAGATTGATTCCAGAGTTACATGCTTGCTAGACAAGTGCCCTTCATACCTGAGCAGTACAGTGAAATCATTATTTTGTTTTTGAGTTTCCCTAATTTTGCCCCTGCCTGGCTTCAAACTGCCGGGCTTCAAATTTGTGGTCCTGCTTGCCTCTATGTCCTAGTACGTAAGATTACAAGCATGCTTCATAGTTGTTGTTGTTTTGTTTGTTTTTTGTTTTTATATGCCTGTCCTAGGGCTTGAACTCAGGTTATGGGCACTGTCCCTGAGCTTTTTTGCTCAAGGCTAGTGCTTTGCCACTTGGGCCACTTCTGGCTTTTTTGATGGTTAATTGGAGATAAGAGTCTTACGGACTTTTTCTGCCTGAATTGGCTTTCGACTGCAATCCTCAGACCTCAGTCTCCTGAATAGCTAGGATTACTGGAGTGAGCCACTGGCAGCTGGCCTTTTTTTGAGACTGGGTCTAACTGTATAACTCAGGCTGTCCTGGAATTTGTTTTGTAGCCTCCAACTTAACTCCAGCCTGTGCTCCTCCTGCCTCATAGTCTCCCAAGGATTACAGGTATTGCCACCATACCTCAAAGTGTGTATCTTTTTTTCATTAATTATTGGGACTTGAATCTAGGGCTTTGAACATGCTAGCCAGACATTCTGCTACTGAGCTTTCTGTGTGTGTGTGTGTGTGTGTGTGTGTGTGTGTGTGTGTGTGTGTGTGTGTGTGTGTGTGTGTGTGTGTGTGTGTGTGTGTGTGTGTACATTTGAACTCAGGTCTTGGGCACTGTCCCTTAGCCTTTTTGCTTAACGCTGGCACTCTGCTTCTTGAACATACCTCCACTTCTGGATTTTTTGCTGGTTAATATGAGATAAGAGTCTCACGGTTTCCTGCTCAAACTGGCTTTGAATCATGATCGTTATCACATCTCAACCTTCTGAGTAGCTAGGATTATAGGTCAGAACCACCAATGGCTAGCCATGGGCCATCTTAAAAACAATAGCACCTAGGGCTGGGAAGGTGGTTCAGTGGTAGAGCGCTTGCCTTGCCTGCTGGAGGCCCTGGGTTCGATTCCTCAGCACCACATAAGCAAAAAGAAAAAAAAAGCCGGAAGTGACGCTGTGGCTCAAGTGGTAGAGCGCTAGCCTTGAGCTGAAGAGCTGAGGGATAGCTCCCAGGCTCAGACCCCACGACCGGACCCAAAAAACCCAAAAAACAATAGCACCTAATAGGTATCAGGCACTTGTAATCCTAACTACTCAGGAGAATGAGACCTAAGGATCACAGTTCAAAGCTAGCCTGGGCAGGAAAGTCTGTAAGACTCTTATCCCCAATTAACCACCAGAAAGACAAGTGGCACTAAGGCTTAAAGTGGCAGAGTGCTGTCCTTGAGTGAAAAAGCTCAGGAACGATACCTAGTTCTCAAATTCAACGACCAAAAACAAAACAAATCAACAACTAATTGATGGGCAAGTATTATTTTATAGTGGAATTTTGAATGTTATTCTTAAAGAATTAGGATGGTAGACCTGGCTTGTCCATTTCTGTGGTATTCTAAGCAATTTCTAGCACGTTAGACTTACCCTTATTTTTAGACTATAAGACTCAGTCTATTTTTTGTTGTTGTGGTTGGTTGTGGGGCTTGAATTCAGGGCCTGGGTCTTGTCCCTGAGTTCTTTTTGCTCAAGGCTAGCACTCTACCACTTTGGGTCACAGCCCCACTTTTTTTGGTGGTTAATTGGAGATGATTCTCACACTTTCCTGCCCAGGCTGGCTTTGAACCATGATCCTCAGATCTCAGCCTCCTGAGAGGCTAAGATTACAGACATGAGCCACCAGTGCCTGGCTGATAGGACTCATTCTAAGACAGCCCATTCCATGAACAGTTTAACTCAATAGAAAGGTCAAAATCATAGACATATTGTGTACCATTAAAATATAGTTTTTAGAAAATTAATAAATCTTGCCTGCAGTGGTTTTTTTTTCTACAGTGGTTTTGAATGTAATATTAAAATGAAAGTTGATTCTTAAATTTATGCTTTATCTTCTAGGGCTTGCATTTCTTTTGGTCCTAAGAATCGGTCTATTGGAGCAGCAGCTAAGAGCCAGGTAGAGTTTTGATTTTTTTTTCCCCTAAATTGACTTATTTCTCTGGTTCCTCTGTTCCTTTATCAGCTTTGTGTATTACTGGTAGACCTTAAGTGTAAGCTGACAGAGACAGACCTGAACCATGTTTTCATGGAGTGAGAAGTAAAGAGCTTTCAACTAGCAACAGCAGTACAATATGTTTAATGAAAACTTCTGGTATTTTTTCCACTCTGTTTCTTTGGGAATGGGGAAAAGACATAGTCTCACAGTATAGCCCAGATCCTTTTACCTCAGTAATAAGAGTGGGATCCAGAGTGTTGGGATTATAGACAAGTATCATCGCAACAAGCCAAAGGTCAAAACAAAGCAAGGTCAGGCAAAGAAAAGCTGCTTTGATCTTGATATTTGAAATGTTCCCTAATGTCTGTTTTGTTGGGCCTTTCATCTTATTCTTAAGTTCATTACTGATCTTTGTTATTCAAGTTTTTTGAAGGATATTTAGGGACTTGCCATTAGTTTTCTTTGCAAACCAAGAACTTGAGGTATGTGCTGGTTTTTGAGTAAGTATGGCATCAAAACCCCAAGAATTTTGTTCAACCAAATGTCAAAGGTGTCCATAAAATTAAAGAGTTGTATATTTTACCTTGTGGTTCAGACTGGTACAACTTGTCTTGGGACCAGGTAAAACCTAATCTAGGGAAAAGGTGCTCAGTCAGTTTTTTTATTTTTTGTTGGTTGTGGGGCTTGGACTTTGGGCCTGAGCACTGTCCCTCAGCTCTTCAGCTTAAGGCTAGCGCTCTACCACTTGAGCCACAGCACCACTTCTGTTTTTTTGGTAGTTCACTGGAAATAAGAGTTTCACAGACTTTCCTGCCTGGGCTAGCTTTTGAACCGTGATCCTCAGATCTCAGCCTCCTGAGTAGCTAGGATTACAGGAGTGAGCCCCCAGCATCCAGCTTGATCAGTTGTTTTTTAATTTAATTGGGTATTTTATTTTTCTTTGTTGTTAATTGGTATTGAGTATTGAACTCAGGGTTTCATTGTGTTAGGCTGTCATTTGAGCTACACCTCTAACTCTTTGGTGGTGGTTGTTGTTTATCCACTGTGGCTTGAACTCAAGGCTTTTCACTTTTGCTTGGCTTTTTCACTCAAGGAGGGTACTCTGCCACTTGAGCCATACCTCCATTTCCAGCTTTTTGAATCTCATGGACTTTTCTGTTCAGGTTAGTTTTAAACCTCAATCCTCAGATTTTAGTCTTCTGATCAGCTAGGATTATAGGCCTGAGCCACTGGCACTGAGCTTTAACTTTAATTTCTGAATTGATGAACTTGTTTCTAGAAAGTTTGAGCCATAAATTAGGCAATACTTGAAAGCTAATAGTCATTCATATGTGTTAGAAATTGAAGAACAGACTCCCCCTCTCTCCCCAATGGGCTTGAACTCAGAGCCTGGGTCCTGTCCCTGAACTCTTTTGCTCTAGGCTAGCACTCTTACTCCTTTGAGCCACAGAACCACTTCCAGTTTTTGTGGTGTTAATTAGAGAAGTAACTGAAACCTGTTAAACTAAAATGCTTTTTACTTTAAAGTTGTTAAAAAATTTTTCTTAAAGTCTTTTATTCTGATATTCTTTCCCTTAGGTAATTTCCAATGCAAAGAACACAGTCCAAGGATTTAAAAGATTCCATGGGCGAGCATTCTCTGATCCTTTTGTGGAAGCAGAAAAATCAAACCTTGCATATGATATTGTGCAATTGTCCACTGGATTAACGGGTATAAAGGTGAGATTCTCAAGATAATGTCTTATGATTAAACAGCAGTATTTACTAGCAGTAAAGGTATACAGCAGTATCTTTATGATACAAACTGTAAATATTAAACAGAAAAACTTCTGCTTATAAAGACTAGATTTTGCTTTTGGTATTGGAGTTTTAACTCAGGGCTTAGGGGCTTGCACCTGTTAACATGTACTTTTTGAACCCTTTTTTGCTTTGGTTTATTTTTCAGATAGCCTTGGATCATTATCCTCCTATCTCCTAACAGATGATAGGAGTAGGCTACCAGGCCCAGCTTGGTTTTTGAGATGGAGTCTTGATAACTTTTCCACTGGGCCTGTATGAAAATAAGCAAGGTCCGTGTATCTCCACCTTTAAAAAATTGTGTGCATATATATATATGTGTGTGTGTGTGTATATGTATGTGTGTATATATATATATATATATATATATATATATATATATATATGCTTTTATATACACACACATATAAAATCTTTAGGACATTATGCAAAGTAGTTGCCATTCAACAGAGCAGTTTATGGACAGTGCATCCTGATCAATGTCACCCCTTTCAACATTCTCATCCATTCCTCCCAACCTACCTGTTTTCTTAAGTAGGATATGCATTGAGTTTTTTTTGTTGTTGTTGGTTGTGGGGCTTGAACTCAAGGCCTGGACACTGCCCCTCAGCCTCTTTGTCCTCAAGGCTAGTGCTGTACCACTGGAGCCACAGGGCCACTTCTGGCTTTTTCTGCGTATGTGGTGCTGAGGAATTGAACCCAGGGCCTCATGCAGGCAAGACAGGCATTCTACTACTGAGCCACCTTCCCAGCCTCCACTTCTGGTTTTTGAGTGGTTCAATGGAGATAAGAGTCTCGGGGATTTTTCTGCCCAGCCTGGCAGGCTGTGATCCTCAGATCTCTGTCTCCTTAGTAGTTAGGATTATAGGTGTGAGCCACTGGTTTCCAGCTTGAATTTTTGACTGCATTCTCCACTTCACCTTTTTTTTTTTTGGGTCTGGTCATGGGGCCTGAACTCTGGGCCTGGGCGCTATCCCTCAGCTCTTCAGCTCAAGGCTAGCGCTCTACCACTTGAGCCACAGCTTCTGGCTTTTTTCTTTTTGCTTATGTGGTGCTGAGGAATCAAACCCAGGGCCTCTGGCATGCAAGGCAAGCGCTCTACCACTGAGCCACCTTCCCAGCCCCCACTTCACCTTTTGAGTAGATGGTATTAGAGGATTGTACCACTATGCTTGACCACCTAGCATGATTTGGATGGTGTGTGGGAGCTATTGTTGGTGCTGTTAAAATGAATTGTAGCCTAGAGTGTGAGGGTTTGAAGTTGACATTGTTGTTGGTGGGGCAGCCACTTTTCTAGTCTGTTTAGGGAATGACTGGAAGAGCAAGTGTAAAGAATCCTGACTTTCAAGTCATGAGCCAGGTAAGGTTATGTTTTTGGTGATGGGTAGATTGGAAAGAGGTTTGTTCTTTTGGGGAAGAGTGAATTTAGTCTTTAATGTTGAGACATCTTGAGAAATCTCACTGTGAAGAAATAGCGAACTGATCACACAAAAGGGGTGAGAGACTAGAAGGTTGGTAGGATAAGACACAACTGCCTGTTTCATTCAGAGATAATAAAAGTAATTCAGAAGCCTGTGTGAACTTTTTAGGCCAGGCGAGTTTATAGAGGGATTTGGTATTTGAAACATCCCACTTTTAGATGTAACCATAAGAACAGTCTTAAAAAACAGCAGATATTAATGAAATACGAGAACAAATCAAGGTACTAGTTACTATATAGCTGAGAAGTTATTTGAATTTAGAAAGGAAAAATTCTGTAACTTAAAAAGTGATCACAAGTTTACTTAAGGTACAGTTGGCATTTATCTCTGAACAATTCAAATGGTATACTAAGGGATGAAGCTAGAGTGCACAAGAGAGAAAGAGGTGAAGAGGTGGTAAATAAGAAATAGAATGGAGGGCTGGGAAGGTGGCTCAGTGGTAGAGCGCTTGCCTTGCATGCCTGAGGCCCTGGGTTCGATTCCTCAGCACCACATAAGCAAAAAGAAAAAAGCCGGAAGTGGCGCTGTGGCTCAAGTGGTAGAGTGTTAGCCTTGAGCTGAAGAGCTGAGGGACAGCACCCAGGCCCAGAGTTCAGGCCCCAAGACCGGACCAAAAAAAAAAAGAATTGAGCAGGTAGAATGGGTACAGTTTAAAAGTTGCAGTGAAAGCAACACCTTCATCCTCCCAAACTTAAGTATGAAATATAATATATTGTTAAATGCTAAGCTATGATCAGTTATTATTGACTGCAGTGAGGAGAAGGTGCACTCTTTCTGAGTTGGGCTAGTTGCTAAAAGAAGAGAGCAACATTTTCTTTGCTGGGTGGCATTTCTGGAATAAGGGCATGTGGGATGGATTATTTTAGGTACTCTTTCATCATTTAACGCTTATAACTCTTACCAAGGTTTCAGACTTTCATCCGGGTCAACAAGTATTTATTGTGACCATCTAAGTGGTATTATGGTAAGTTAGACAAAAATACTGCTTAGATTAGATTAGATTTTATTGGGAGATGAATAATATAGTAAACACAGTAAGTCAGACACATGTCACATGTAAAATAGGGTGGAGTGGTTCATAGTTACACTAGTTTGCTTCTGTGTTGGTAACTGTCTTAGTTTTGTTTTACTTTGCATCTTCCATCTCTTGAGTATTATGATTAGAAAACTTGTTAAAAAGCCAAAAGTAACCTTCAAGTAAATATTGCTTACAAATAGCTTTATTCAGTTCCCTCTTACAGTCTTACACTGATAATTTGCAAGGCATTGTTTACTTTAGGTATTAGGATTAGGTCATGACAAAGTATCATAAGTCTGGATTCTTTTTACTTGTATTTTTGCAGGTTACTTATATGGAAGAGGAGCGAAGTTTTACCACTGAGCAAGTGACGGCCATGCTTTTGTCCAAACTGAAGGAGACAGCAGAAAGTGTTCTTAAGAAGCCTGTTGTGGATTGTGTTGTTTCGGTGAGTTTGGTCACTACGTGGCTACAGAAGCAAAGAAGAAATGTGTTAATTGCAAGTAAAATTGTTTTTATCTCAGGCTGTCATAGTAATTTTAAGACTTTTCTGAGCCAGGTACTGCTGGCTCATGCCTGTAATTCTAGTCTGAGATCTACCAGTGATGCTTTAAAGCCAGGCTAAACAGAATAATCTTTGAGACTGAAGTAACCATCAGAAAGCTGGAAGTTAGCTGAGTGAGGTTTAAAGCCAGCCTGGGCAGGAAAGTCCATGAGACTTAATCCCCAGTTAACTGCCAAAAAGCTGGAAGTGAAGCTGTGGTTGTGGGGTGGGGTGCTAGTCTTGAGCAAAAAAGCTTTGGGATAGCACCAGGCCCTGAGTTCAAGCCAGCATGGGAAAGAGAGTCCATGAGACTCCTAGCACCCAGGCACTAGGTTCAAGCCCCAGGACTGGCACATACATACAAAATAGCTGGAGATGTAGGTGTAGCTAAAGATGTACAGTGTCAGCTGTGTGAAAAAACCAAATTAGAGCATGAGACTCAAGTTCAACCTGCAGTATGCAGTACCAGTACCTTCCCCCCAAATTCTCCAAAGTAATAATCTCTCTCTCTCTCTCTCTCTCCCCTTCTCCCTCTCTCCTCCCTCCTCCCTCCTCTCTTGTCTCTTCTTTCCTCTCTGTCCTCTCTCCTCTCTCTCTCTCTCATCATTGGGAGTTAAACCCAGGTCCTTGACTTGCTTTAAATATGCTGTCTTTTTTTCCTGGTTGCTGTATATATCTCTAGTACTAAAAACAAGATAGCAGTAGATTTTGTTTTGTCTTTTCCATATCCGTTTAGTTGGAAGCCTAGCTATATGTAGGTTTGTGCTTAAAGTGCAGTGGAATCTTTAGAGGCTGTTGAAAGATGGATGGCTAGATTGGCTTTGCTGCTGAGTCCTATGTCTCCATTGTTTTCTGGTACTTTATCTGTGGGGCCTCTTTTGCCTTAAGTTGGTATGTTGATTGGCAAATAGGACTGTTTGGCTTTTTTACCCTTGCTAATTTGGTCTAGTCACCAGCGCTTGGCAGTAATAATTGATAATAGCTGTGTACCACATTCTGTGGAAGCAAAGAATAAAAATACTGCACTAGAAGCAGATTCAATAACCCTGATGCCTTCAGTGGCTGGTTGATGCAGTAGGTCCTCTGTTAGGTGCTTCCTACCCCTCTTCAGGTCTCCATAAGTCTCCCAGATTTGATCCTATTTTTCCATTTAGTGCATTAGCTTTGATCCTGAGTTATGCAGAAGAAAAATTTATGTAAAATAGTGAAATAACTCAGCTTTTTCCAGTTATGGGATCAAATTAAAAGGGGATATGCCAGATTGGGAAATGCGGCTTAGTGGTAGAATGCTTGCCTAGCATGCATAATGCCCTGGGTTTAATTCCTCAATACCACATAAACAGAAAAAGTGGGAAGCGGTGCTGTAGCTCAAGTGATAGAGTGCTAGTCTTGAGCAAAAGAAGCTCAGAGACAGTGCCCAGGCCCTGAGTTCAAGCCCCAGGACTGGCAAAAAAAAAAAAAAAAAAGATAATATGCCAGGTCCTGAAGACTATACTGAATTGTAGCCATTTGCTAGAGGAATCACAGGATTCAGCATATAGATGAGCTATAGCTGAATTTTATTTATAGTGAAAGCACAATATAAAATTAACAAAAGGAAAAGGTAATATATCTTTTCTGGAGGAAATTAAGCACAAGATTTTAAGAGTACTTGCTTACTTTAGGCATAATAGCATATCTGAAGAGACTTCCATCCAGAAAACTGCCTGAGTCTAGAAGTCCAGGAGTTTTATTTTGGTGGTCAGTCGCATAGATGTACCCTGTGCCCAGCATATATCCAAATTCTAGGCTTCTCAAGGAACAACAGGCAATCAGCTCAAAAAATGACATTGTTTGTTTAGACAATTGAGGCATAGTGAGCCACTTTTAATCAGTTAGGGATAGTTTTCTGTCCATTTAAGAGACTTTATTTAAAAACTTCATTTTGAGATTTTCTTGTGAACCAAGGTTGTCCTCAAGCTCACAATTCCCTTGCCTCAGTCTCTGGAGAGCCAGCCTTAGGGAACTGTTTATTAATCAGATTTCTAGATGTCAAACTTCATAAGCAGGCCTTTGTAAAGATAGTGTGTTCTGTGGCTTTTGTATTACAATAGTATCTCTTGTTATTGTGATCTTCTATTTAGTACATGTTGTATAATGCTGTCCATTGTTGTCCATTGTTGCAGTACTACTGAGAAAATGCATATAACATTTTCTTTCTAGTTTAGAATACTTTTTTGATTATATGCAGAATAAATTGCTATAGGTATTTAAGAGTATTCTTAGATTTTACTAATTAAAATGATGTTCATAGTTGTACAATAAACATAAATTATGTTGTAGGTTCCTTGTTTCTATACTGATGCAGAAAGACGATCAGTGATGGATGCAACACAGATTGCTGGTCTCAATTGTCTGCGATTAATGAATGAAACTACTGCAGGTAAGAAGGAATTATGTAACTATTACTTTTTGGTTGTTAAATTTTGAATCTTAAAATCTTGACATTTTTTTTTTTTTTTTTTTTTTGGGTCCCTTT